TGATGGATGATGGATGGATAATGGTTGGATGATTGATGGTTGGATGATGGATGGATGATGGTTGGATGATGGATGGATGATGGATGGATGTTGGATGGATGATGTATGGGTGTTGGATGGATGATGGTTGGATGATGGTTGGATGATGGATGGATAATGGTTGGATGGACGATGGATGTATTATTGGCTGTAGTTGTTTGATGGTGACTCAGATGCTCCGCCCACAGATTCGCTGAGTCACCATGAACCGTCAAGTATTCAGTGAGTGTGTGCAAATGTGTGTGTTTGAAGTGTATGTGTGAGTGTGTACATGTGTGTGTTTGTGTGTACATGTGTGTGTTTGTGAGTGTGTAAATGTGTGTGTGAGGTGTACCTGATTTAAATGTCAGTAAAGTGAGAATCTGACTCAGAGTTACAGCAGCAACAAACTGATCTGATCAAACTTGTTTTCATCGTTGAAGGATTCATGTTTCTGCTCCTCTGCAGCTACAGGTGTCACTCATTATTYATCATTAATTAAATAACTTTAAATACATACAGGTACCACACATTAGATTAGATTAGATTAGACCTTTGTTGTCATTGTACAGAGCACAAAGAAAYGACAGATCAGAACACAGGTGCTCTGTCTGAGTCATGCAGACCCTGCAGAGAACAAGGATCATCTTCATGAAGACATCATGAGGAGGTGCAAGTCTTAACAGAAAAACTAAAACCACACAAGGACAGATGAGGAGAAACTATTTAACATTACTTATCATTAATTAAAAGAGCAAATCGTTTATAATGTTGTGTAAATATATAAAATATTAAGTGTAAATGATGGTTTTGTATCTGCTGGGCTCTCATGGTGTCCAAAACCAGAGCAGTGGAGCAGTCAGTCCTCACATGGACCCTCAGAGTCTCACATGGACCCTCAGAGTCTCACATGGACCCTCAGAGTCTCTCATGGACACTCAGAGTCTCACATGGACCTTCAGAGTCTCTCATGGACCCTCAGAGTCTCAGATGGACCCTCGGAGTCTCTCATGGACCCTCAGAGTCTCACATGGACCCTCAGAGTCTCACATGGACCCTCAGAGTCTCACATGGACCCTCAGAGTCTCTCATGGACCCTCAGAGTCTCAGATGGACCCTCAGAGTCTCAGAGTCTCAGATGGACCCTCAGTCCTCTCATGGACCCTCAGAGTCTCAGAGTCTCAGATGGACCCTCAGAGTCTCTCATGGACCCTCAGAGTCTCAGATGGACCCTCAGAGTCTCA